AATTGTCGATCTCCAGCAATACCTCGACTCTGCCAGCGAGGTGACAAAACGCATTTCCCCCAGTGCTCAACATGCTCGAAAGGAGCTCGTGTACCTGTCGAGCCTTATCCATAACTTCATCATTTCTTTCTCGAGCAATGATGACGAGAGATACACGGCGTAAACGCTCCATTGTGAGCAATGAGGCTGGGAGGTCTTCCCAGTTGGCAGCCGCAGTGTAGGATACAACATCATTATCCGTACTGATGATGATTTGAACCTGCAAGAATTCCAAGCGATATTCCACGTCGACGATGGCCAGAGATCGGGCATAGAGGCTCCAATGCCTTGGAGCTAGAATGGAAGACTCTTCTGAAGGCGGCAAGCGTATAGCTGGCACTCGACTTGTGATCGTAAGAGTAAGCAAGTTTTGTAGAGGTAATGAGGTCGGAAGCCTGGTAGGTGAATGAGTGAATGGTCTTCAGTGAACATACTGCTTACCATTTATGATTGAATTCATCTTCTGTCAGCATATCGATGTCAAGAGATAGACTTTCCAGTGATTGCATGGACGCCAGCAAACGGGATACTACGCTGGCCGGACCATATTTCGAATCATGGTCAGGTACTAGGTTCTCCGGCCGAAACTCCAGATGGTTGATTTGGGGTAGGCAGATGCGCCCCGAGTCCCGTGCCAGACCAAAAACGTCAGTATCAAGCACGTCAAGAAGAACTAAGCTCCTCAATTCAGCCATGTGCGATTCGTCCCATGAATAAAGCGTTGCGGAGGGACTATTGCCTTTGTTGAATAGCGAGTTACTCCAGTAATAACTACGGACGCTTCGTGGTGGGTTTCTAACGCAGATTTCTTGCACCGCGGGGAAGGCACCCAACACGCTATGAAGAGATTGTCGGTAAACCGCCCAAACACCGCTGAACGTGACAGTTTTAATACTGCATTGCACGAACATGGCCTGTAGAGAGTCCGTCCACGCAGAGGTGAGATCCACTCCGCGTATTTCGACCGCATTTAACGTGGACAACGATGAGATGACCCGTGGAAAAGCGCGGTCCTTCGCGACCCAGTCTTCCAAGTCTGTCTCGTCGCCATGGTACAGGTTTCTGCCAGGGCCCGAAAGGATGACAGTCTCGACGAGACGTGCGGAGGAGGGAGTTACGTGTTCACGAAAGCGCCTCGCGGTAGGCGTGAAGTGGGTGGGGTAACCACCAACCCAGGCGCTTTCTGGGGTGAGGATGATTTTCTGGAAGATATGCTTTCGAACGCGCGGAACGAATCGTTGGGCTGTGAGACAGCACGCGTACAGGTTCGAAGCGAATTCTCCCCAGTAGATGTCCGGCGGCCCATGTCCAGCAACCTCGTCAATGATAGCATCGATAATCTCTTGGGGGAGTTCTGTAGAGGTGGACATCCTGATGTCCTCCAAGTCTCAAGAATTAAACCTTGGAGCCTATTCAGTGCTCGTCTTCATTATCTTATGGCAGAGTAATAAGCATACCGGTTTGTCCCGCTGGTTCAACTTGATAGTAAACAGCTAAATCCGGTGTTGTGGTTGTACGCGACGGCGCATACAGACGATATCTGGATGCTCATTCATGGTCATAATCTCGACGAAGATGAAGATGTCTAAACCAATACCTAGAGAAGATCCTCACTGGTCAAGTGCAAGCGATGCCGACGGCAACTGTTCGTGCTGATTCGATCACGTGCACTCCTGCTAGTGGTGCAAAAGTCTGAAAGTAAAGTGTGAATTTGTCGTCGATACGGATCCGTGCAAGCACTGTACAAACGGAGACCACGAGTGTGTCATACCTGGAAAGAAACAGTGTCGCGTGCCTCCGTATGACATTCTTTGGCCAGAGTACTGCTCGCTCTAACCGCGAGAGAAACGGAAAGTAGTGTCCAATATAGACAAGTAGAAATCAAGAATGATTAAGAAATGTATGTAGCAGTGCGGTGTGCTGTTCCGAAAACTGTCCCAGCCTATAGCGATGGCGCCGCTGATCTCTTCAGAAACAGTGCCATGCGTCGAGGGGTATCTGGCATGCCATACAGACGGCGGTAATCCACACCCTCCACCGGCTGATCTTGTTCATGCCTACACATAGCATGTGAGTATCAACATCTCACGACGAAGGACGAAAGACGAACGTACACTGATCGTATGTGCGCCCGCAGTTGGACAAGCGTCTGTCCCCCAAGCTTCTCTGTCGACAGATCCAAACAATGCACACACTCATACATCAAGTCCTCATACACAGTCCGAGAGACCTCCCAGCCTTCGGGGACGTCCGCCATCTTCGTTAACTCCTCAAGGAACGCAGCGAGTCGAAGAAGTGCTTCTTGACACCATGCGTAACCTATCCAGATGAGTGTACCAACTCGCCGAGACGACATCCACGTACCATTTCGCGCCAACTGCGAAGATGACGGGCTTGTATTTGCAGTGCCGCATCCCGACACACCCCACACTCAAACAACACACCGCAAGAGTCCATATCGTCCACCGTGGCCGTGCTAGGATCCATACCTGCCATCACGACGAGGCCGTCCACTAACGTCGTCATGAATGACTTCTTGAGGTACGTCCCCTGTGGGGTGAGCGACGTCCGAAGATACAGATTCCCGTCGATGCTACACGTCGTATCATCAACTCCACCAGTAAGATGGTACTGCTCGTGATTCCAGCCCTTGAACGCACAGTGATGTGTCAGGTATTCGGGATAGAAGAGGGGTTTGAAAGTGATGCCCCCTTTACGGAAGTAGCGGTAGTCGCGGGGCACGTCGGGGTAGAAGCTGCAGTATTCGCAGAATAGACTGTTAGTGGCCAAGCGGAGACGAGCAATGGTGGATTCCGGGGAAGTATGTTCGGATGCATGAGCTGGATCAGCGATGGCCAATACGCGAGCGTGGACTTCAGTGCGCCACGTATGGTAGAAGGCATCCATCTGGGGAGAATGGGATCAAAATCGGGTACGGAGACGGAATCGTCGCCAGGGCGGTCAATGATGGCTTTCACGGGCGCAAGTAGGAGGAAGTCAGCGATGGAAGGATAAAGCTGTGTGGTAGTAAGAAGCGATTGTTTGAAGGAGCGAAAGAAAGTCAACGCGACTTTCTTCCGCTCTAGCTCGACGAGTTTTCGCTCCCGTGTGCGACACATATTGCGAACTTTCTCGGCGAATACTAGCATGTCGTCGCGTATGTTATGCCAAACTGCGAATGACATGAGCATGACCTAGGCCCCGAAAGAAGACCCATACCTCTATCTGTCAAAGGTCGGTTCTGTTTAACAAGAGGATGATCCTCAAATTCGTGACGCATTCCTCGACGGTAGCCTATCGGGGTGTTGATACCCATAATGTCGAGGTCATCTTTGTACCCAAGCGCAGAGAGTTTCTCGTAAATCCTACAAAACTCTGTCAGCCAGAAAAACGTCAGGAAACTCAGCGAACTGACGCAGTTCGACGATCCGTCTTGGCACTAGCAATTTCTTTCCGGCGGAGGACAAGACCAATGTTGTACCAATGAAGGCACAGGTCAGCATGCTGAGAAATAGGTTGACCCAAGAAAAATGAGGATTACGAAAATGCGAACCTTTTGATTCCTGACTTTGCTCTCAAGTCTGTCTAAAATAAAGTCTTTTGTTGTTGAACCGGTGCGGTATCGCAGTTCGGTTTCCACGTCCTCGTAATCACCAAGGAGCGCATATGTATCCTTTAATTTGCACCGCTGGTAGACTAACGAAGGGGTAAGTTAAATTTATCGAACGAGAAAAGCAATGTACCGGTATCGTGGGCGTCCAACAGAAGAAATGTGACATCAACCTGTTTTCTATCGTGGACAGGCATGGAATTTTTGAGGTCATTTCGCGCAATGAGACTGGTCAAAGATGAGAGCAGGACGGATAGCTAATTCGATTAAACTTACTGATGCTCTGAGCACGCGGGGCATATACGGCAGCGCAGATGAAAGTCAGGTTTAGCAACCTTCTTCTTCCAACAAAACTAATTTGTTGTGAGATGTCCGCCGAAATAAGAATCGAGAAAAGGCGCGAACGTTACATATCTTGATGAAGACAAAGTGGGCCCATCCAGGCTCTGACATCCCTGGAAAAGGTTCAGGCATGTTGTCAGCATTTCGCCGAGCAGCCTTCCACGTTCCGCGCGACGACTTAGTCATGACCACGCCTCGGAGCGAGTGGCAGACCCAGGAGATGTGTAGTATATCCAAGGGGAGCGCATGCGAGAATATCTAGAACGTTTTCAGAGAAAAACGTCGATCCGAAAGAGGAACGCGAACCTCGAGAAGCACATCAAATGGTAGATCCGCAAACCGGTTTACGGCAGCCACCGATTTCCTGCCACGACGAGGGACTAGTGCCTGCTTGCTCGGTTTCCCATCGCTGGTTGCTGCTGCAGTTGTTCTTCGCCGTTTTCGACCTCTGTCGGTTATTGCCATGGTGGTGAGAGGCCAAGCCGGAATCCTGCAAAAATAACATCAATAAATAAAAGGATCATCTCGTGATCGCGATTCGATTCTAATAAGCCTTCAATTGAAGTTCAACGGGCGCCATACTGTTGTACGCACTAGTACTTCATGTCTGTTTATGAACGTTGAACCGTGGAACCAGTCGGAGTTTCGACTGGTGAGCAGAGCGATCCGTGATAGCAGATACGGCCAACATCAAAGTGAATGTACAAGTTGCTGGACTACGGGCTGTCCCGGATTTCGATCCTGCCGCCCAAGTCTGAGCCCTGTGGCATCCCATCATCCTGTCTAGCCTAAGCCCTACGTTACCTACCACCACCAGTCGACGACGACGACCTCTCTGTACGCATGCCGCTTAATAGAGGATGTGCGATCTGGTAGCTCTGGGCCTTTTGGTTCTTGAAAGTCGTAACGGTAATTAATACTTCCCGCTAGACGGGCTGGCCGCTGAATCCATTCCACCAAATTGAACAGAAAAAAAAAAGCTTTCAAAAGAACAAAGAAAATCACGAAGTGGACACTGTGGGAGTCGAACCCACGACTTGACGCAATGCCTTACAAGTGCGAAGACCAACTGTGCCAAGGGCCCTATGATACATGTGGCGGCGCTCAAATCCCGCAGCCCGCCATATGATAGAGATCTGAATCCCTTCTTCACTCTCGGGCAAAAATCATCCTTTGGTTTCGCTTTGGCCCTTCCCTCAGAAGAGCAGTCGTAAATGGCTTTCATGAGTCGTCCTGCCAGACCCGTCATTTTACGCCATGTTCCATGTCTCCTCTCGTCAGACTTACTGGCTTGCTGCTTGAGGGTCGACTTCGTTTCCCGTCATCCAATCCTGATATTTGATTCCCCGAATTTGGCATGTTTACGGACGACAGCCATCCCGATCCAGGTCGACACCGGAAACGCCCTAGAGCTCCTCGAAGACATGATCCGATGCATTAATTTCCTTAACTTTCATGTTAGTTTATCATCTCTCCTCCAGTACGTCAATCCTATGATGGATTCACTTACCCGCGACAGCTCACCTCCTCTCTGATAGGGCTCTTATTCGCACGAACAGTTAAACTGCCACAGATACTGGTGGAGCCCTCTACTAGTGCTTTCGAGAACCATCCTGATTGCAGCGTTTAGGTCATTTCTACGCTTCTCATCCTTCATGCGGCTCTTCCCGACACACCTTGACTGTCATGACCGGAGGTGCTCTCATCCATGGATCCCTCGCTTTTGTGTTCAAACAGGCCAAGATCTAGATTGGCAGATATCGGGCCTCTGCTTGTTTGAACTTGACGGTTCTCACGGCACACTTGCGGACTGACACGAAGAATGCTGTTCGCGAACGCGCAATCAGAGCTGGCGAAGCAGTGCGAGGAACGGGAATATGGCAGTCCCGGCGCAGCGGAACCAGGGCTGGGCGATAAGTTGTATACGGCATCCAAATTGATAAGCCACGCTTCATACATATACAGCCGCGCTGAACGTGCTTTGTTCTTCTTTCGTGCGTTCCCCTACGCCCACGCCCTTCCTTTGTAACGGAATCCACTCTCTACTAATGGACGACGCCGAGGTCGTCCCGCAACCCCCCGCACCCATCCACGACCAGGCCACGCTCTCTGCAGCCATTGCTAATTTCAAGCCGACGCCGAAGGAGGTGATTAGCGGCATCGCGCCTCATGTCTTTGATGACAGGCGAGTGAGGCGCCGGCGAAACTCTACTGGGCGCCCACGAAGACGACCTAGTACGGGCCTAGCGTGCGAGCTGCGCCGTCCAAGGACGTCAGCCGAAACTCCTTCCCCACTGCGGATATCTGCCATTATCACTGTCGAAGAGCTGCAGCCGCAAAACGACATACGTACGGGTTCCCCATGTTATCTTGTATCGAAACTAACGTGGGTTTTAGTACAACAACGCAGATCTAGTGCTATCCTCCCAGATTCGGCACCATTGCCCCAGAAATCACGGAAACCAAACCGAATATTTACTATACGAATAGACTCTCTCAAGTTGGTGGCTATCCACTTCCCGTTAACGCTGTCTGACCTTGCCTTCAGAGCCTTCGCCACGAAATTTAGGTCAGCTTCCGTTCCTATCTCTGCTCGACCGGGCCATTGATTTCTCCGCCTGCCCAGATCTCCACGACACATTAGACCAACCACTACTGAATCATCCTCATAACCTTGACGGACGGTTACCGTCAACGATACCCCTTATCATATACTGTATTATTCTCCCGCGAACTAGCTGCGATGTGGCATTCCAACGGCATTCATTCATTACCAGATTGTGGCGTACACGTTCGAGAAGGTTCCGCGGATGTAAATCTGTGGAAGGTATGGATCGGCTGTTCGGTCCACTGCGTGCATCGACTCCAGCATGAGGAGTAGGAAGTTGTACGAACGCGAGGAGAGCCTCACCACTCCCTTCTAGACCTTCGCTCCCTATATCTATCGAAGCTGGCATGAACGGCTGATGGCCTCCATCACGTCGTCGGTCATGGTGGGCCCTGTGTAGGGTGGGCCCTGTGTAGTATATACACTGTCCATTTAGCTATCTATACATTGTACACGAATTGACTTCTGGACGCGACTCATCTGCCACAGAACGTTCAGCAAGTAGAACACGCATCATCATGTAAACGTCTAGCACCGCTCAGTTCGCAGGAGTCGATGATGCGCTCATGTGGAGGCTGCCGTTTCGGATTTTTTGTTTGTGATCCTTGGTCTGCATCAGCGATCAAACTTCTCCAGAATTGCTGAGTTTTTCAACCAGTACTGACATGTTCATCATTCAGAACGTTATGAGTGTCCAACTGTTAGTTTGTAAGAATGAAAGATGCGTGCGCAGGTGCACACTGCGCCTATCTCGTCCGCAGCAACGTCCGAGTACTTACCGCTGCTGATCCACTCAAAGGGAAATCGCTCAGCAACCCTCGTGGGGCGCCATAACCGTTTGAGTAATCGACCACGGGAATAACGCTATGTTTACATCATCACCGTTGTACAAGTTGCGCCACACTTGTCCGAGTCTTCTCATCGGTCTACTACAAGTAGATGAAAGAAATGGTATCACCATTCAGTACGATTGCTCACATATCCGCAGTCAACGAGGAGGGCGAGGTACTTGGGCCTATGAGTCAGAACAAAGTTCCAACGACTGCGATCGCAGCACAAAGCATAGACGACCTGCGTCTCTGTAATACGTTCCTGTTCTTTGAATCAGACAGAGTCATAGAGAGCTATACAGCGGTACCGCGTTAAGTTGTTTAAAATGTCCAAGCATTGAAGGATAAAGCACAAGAAGCAGACGTTTCAAGCGCATTCAGATCCAACGCCGACATGTCTACAAAGCAATCCAACCAATCCACCACATCCTTCTCGTCGACAGCACCGTTGATGCAGTCTTCCCCATCTTCATCCTCATCGAAGCCCTCGAAGTCCATATTCAAGAAGCTATCTTCCTCGAAATCCACATCCACATCCACACCCAAATCTGCTTCCTCCTCCGCCCCCTCCTCATCCGAGGGGGAGTCGAACCCAAAGTCCAAGTCCAAGTCCACGGCGCCCTCGAGTGCTGGCCTCGACAAGGACTTCGCCGCTCTCGGCGCGCTCATGAACAAATACGGGACTGGGTTTACCGCCTCGCCGATGGGTGGGAGAGGGTTCTAGAGTAGGACGTTGGGAAAAGGACGCCGAGGACAAAGGAAGAGGGAAGCACGAGAGTCTAGAGGAATTGGCAAAACAATAAGTCGTGGAGAGGGATGGGAATACAACAAGGAGATGATCAAAGGAATCGAACCTGAAGAAGAGCCAGATATGTACCATATATTGGAATACAAGCCATCTGCAATGTAGAGGAAGGAAAGGAATCACATCCGATTGGACGGGTATGTAGTTAGCCCCAAGTCGACAATTCCCCCGCCGCTCCAGAGCCTGACTGTCGGACGTGAAGACATGCTCGGGAGGCCCATCCACTACGACGAGGTAAGACCAACGAGATGATCCATACTCCAGAGGGTATGATAATACAGAACAACGATGGGTCAGTCACCACCGAAGACCTTGTAAACCAAAGTCAACTATTTATGCGCCACACAGAATGTTTAACTCACTGTGCTAGACCGAGACTCAAAGATACAGCGCGCGCATACAAGCGCCTTGTTGGGCTTGAGTGTAATCCATAGTTGCGGCCTTCACCCCGTCAGTCCGAACACTATCCGCCTGACGACGCGTGGGCCCGGAATATTATCCCACCCGATGACGAGGTGGCGGCGCCCACGCGATTAGGCACCATACAGGATTCTGGCCGTCCAAGCTAACTGAATTTTGTCCGCCTGGCTAAACCTAAAAGGAATGTACTCAGCATGTCACATGTGGCCAAGAATCAGCAGCATTCACTTTAGAAATTAATCATACAGGAACGAATAGTCTGGCGTCGGTCGGACTGCAGTGGGAGCAGGAGAACAGTGCTAAGAGCAATATAGTGCATTGTCCAGTGAATTGCCAATGCTACGGCTTGTGGCGTTGACAGCGGTTCCTTGATCTCTGGAGAACCGTCGGGTGCTAATCACGACAAGGCTTCGCTACTCTTGAGACTCTCGTGAGTAGAACCGGGCTTACCGCCTTGCCGATGGATGGCAGAGGGTTCGAAGAAGTCGAGCGAGAAGAACGGGCAGCCAGAGGAAGAGGAAGCAGACGACTCACGCGGAGGGACCTTGAGACATTTCCGGCGCATGTAAAGCATAGGATCAAAATACGTTTGAATACCATATCGCCAAATACTATATACAAGTAATCTGCAACGGCAGATGCTTGGGTATTGAAAATCTGTCATGTCCAATGAACAACAGAGATGATCTAGTGCGCACGTTCCGACGATGGACTACGAGCATGGGGAGGATGTCCAGGCTGAAGAGAGCGAGGTGGTCCCTGCGCAGAAGGCGAACGACCATGTCCCTCTTGGCCCGACGGCCCCCGATTATGGCCATCATGCATAGAAGGGGAATTGACGCCGTAAGGCGGTGGAGGTGATCTGGCGTCTCGAGCCGGGTAATTACCGCCATCTGATAGTCGGCTGGCATTGGGGAGGGCATTACGTGGATAGGAAGCGCCGTTGGGGGGATGGGTCGGGTCGGGTGGGCGCATACGGTCAGGACGATGGTACGGCTGGTTGGTATCCGCCATGGGATATACAATTTCGTCGTCGTCTTCGACGTCTTTGGCTTTCTTGCCACTGACTAGTATTTAACCGAAAATTTCAGAGATATATCCTAGCATGATGAGGATAGAACGCACAGCAACCAGCTAAACAAGGGATTCGACCAAAAGCCGAGGCTAAGAGGGAATGAGTAAAACATGCATGTGCAGGCGCTAATACGTACCAATGCAGACGCAGCAACAGCAACAAGCGCAACAGTCGCTGGGATCCATGACTGGTCGGGAGAAGGAAAAGTGAAGGCCACAGACTCTTCAGGCTGGAAGAAGGAAGGAAAGGCGATTCACAAAGAGCGTTTGAGATGAAAGCAAGAGATGATGTCGAATTTGTAATGACGAGAGCTTTGATGATCGTCGTTGTCAGAGGAACGACACAG